TCCGCACCTAGGTCTACCATCACCTTCCTACCCGATACGTACATTATATTACAGACGAATTGTGGTTTGCCGATACCGCAGAGTCCTCACTTCGTTGACGACTAGTTTGCATTGCAATCAAACTAAATTATAATTGCCCATCTGAAAATGAGAAACTCGTGTTTTTGCTCATCCCTGTCTATCTCACATCAGTGTTCTTCCTGAATAATCCTATGCCCACGGCCACCATTACGATGTTCGAGTTAATATGAACAATGTGTTCCCTAAACTAAGCCTTCCCGAATATGTAAGCGGTTGTACGGCTTCTACGTCATATATAATGTTTATAGTGATCGCTCCCATGCAATTTTTCTCAATAAGTACGAGTCCTCCTTATAAGCGTGTAAGAGCTCATGCACCATTGTAAGGTGAAAGATAAAACAGGTTGCTAACACAACTGGTGCTTATATCCCTGCTCAAGTGCATGTGACTACACTATTTAAGACGTTAATTCCAAATACGAGTTGGTTATTTTAGTAGAGATTTGAGGTGTCTTCGAATTCTTCAGCATTTCTCCGTTCTTAATGGAGTTTAGAACTCACTCTTCAACTTCCAAAACATGTTTAACTGTTTTAAGTACTTGATGTGCTTTCAAATCGCCGAAACATCTAAATCGTCAGGAACGTTGTATTCCATTTGTTTTCTAGCGAATTGGAGAATTTAAATTGTCCTCGTTGTTATAATGCATCACCTGACCTTTGAACCTTCAGCTGGAAGTTTACGCGCCAGCACAATGTTGGTTTCCACAGTTGGGTCAGGCAATTGTGACTGAGCTCAGCATCTCCATTATTCCCCGTTAGAACAATTAAATTATGCTAACGGTATACAAGAGAAGTTTAAATCTATCGCGGTTGATGCCCTCTGTAAGCTTTACGCGCTGCCCTCACCCGTGGCGGTCGACGTCAACAGGTCTGCTCCTTTTTAATTAAACGTTCTTTAGCGGCGTCTGTAATTTACAGCACGAAAAAAGGGATCGCTGTGCTCCAAATTGACAACAAAAATTCCAAAGTTGTAACTTTGACTGCTGCGCTCTCGAATGAACTTGGTTCTGCGTTTCAAAAAATGCGGGATGACCCCTCTGTGAAGGCTGGTGTGATTATTTCTGCCAAGCCAGATTGCTTTCTTGCTGGAGCGGATATCTCCATGCTCGCTGCCTGCAAATCGGAGGAAGAAGTCTCCAATTTGTCAACGTATTGTCTACCCATTAGTTGATTTCCGATGACTAGTTAACGTAAAAAGGGCTTATTCTATTTTACTTTGAAGTAACACCCATATATATATGCTTTTCTGATTTTTCCACACTCAAGCGCTACAGCTATTTTGCTTTGGATTATTGTTTTATTACAAGTAATTACCTACAGGAATCCCTACCCTGCTGCCCAAAGTTAGTGTCAGTTACATGTCCGTGCATGAACTTGCCGCCGACATTTACAGTTTTCCTTGAAGCCGAAATTTTTCTTCTGCAATGGCGACCACGACTGTGGATAGATGAAGGCACCACCTCAGTCTCATTGCCATTTTTCTTTTTAAGGAGAGCGCAAAATCAGTTGGCTGAATTTGAGGCAAGTCCAAAACCCCTTGTCGCAGCCATAATGGGTACCTGCCTCGGAGGTGGTTTGGAGCTGGCGCTCGCCTGCCGATATCGCATAGCTGTTAACGACAAAAAGACTGTCCTGGGTTTCCCAGAAGTCAAATTGGGACTCTTGCCAGGTGCTGGTGGCACGCAGCGCGTTCTCTCAGCGGTGCCCGGCGTTGACCAAGCGTTAAAACTCGTGCTCACGGGTTCGACTCTGAATTCGACAAAAGCGAAAAGGGCCGGCCTTGTGCATGAGGTAATCCAACCACTTGGTCCAGGTCTCCATTCGGCCTCCAATAATACTTTGGCCTACCTTGAGGCCATCGCAATCGACAGAGCTTGGCAAGTTCTCTTGTGCTAAAATTTTGCCGTTTATATATTCCCCTAACGAAGACACCAAACACTAACACGCTTTTAGCCATTCTTGTATTTTGAAATGGAAAAAAACCAAAGGCCGACATTTGCCATGCTTTGTATGTTGTATAACCCAAACTTGCCTCGCTGTAGTGCGCTATCGAGGAATGACAATGTCTGCGTATATTCTGTTTTAGAATGTTGCCTTGTTCCTCATGCTTTTTTGCCGATTGCAAGAACTTTTGAAGTTAAGTACTATAAGCAAAAGTTGCCACATGAATCTGAGATATCCAATTTACCTGTCTGCAAACTGAAATGCGTTACTGGTGGACCATAGTTCACATTTCTTGTAAGGGCAGCGCCAATGGCTGGGGTTCTTGTCTTCAAGACCAACAGGGTATTGTATACCGTAGTGTTCGGCTAAATCCAATTTAGAAGCCCTAGTCTGTTTTGCTGTCTTAACTTATTGACATCTTTCTGAATCTTCTTTCATATTTTTTAGTGAATTGGCTGACGGAAAACTTACTCCATCTAAACCAACTCTATCTGTAGCTCAGAGTAAGTCGCTGCGTATTCGAAGGATTTATCATTAGGCTTTTATATATCTTCAGCTTTAAGATAGGGATTTCTTGTTGATCACGTGGTTACTTAAGCCTTCCGTTAGTTGGAGGAGGAAAGGGAAACGCAACTTATTTTGTAGTCGTAAATTACGGAAGTGTCTGAATAACCCATTTTTCTCGAAAGAACAGTGACAAGGTAAATTATGTACGAAATACTTATTGTCATTGCTCTAATCCTGTACTCCTGTCAGCGTAGCCCACCAACGGGCAAAGAATGCCTGTTCAGTTCGGACTTCCTACCAGCCGTTAGCGGTTTCCTACTTTGAGGCAGTGCTTAAATGTCTTCCATATTTTCGAGATGATAGCGCCGTTTAGGCCTCCAAACCAGCTTACTATCGTTAAACTCGTCACTCATCTTGTAGATAAACGGGAGTGTACTTTTGACCACAAAGCAAGCTGTTAACTCCTATTTGTTTGCACTTGCAGCTCAATGTAAGTTAACTTGATATCCCTTTTTGGGACACCTGCAATTTTGCGCCTTCATAGACTGTCCGTTGCCCGTGAACTCGAGCATTCCTTCCAAGAAGCACCCTGATCTGGCCGCCCGCACTTAGCACATGTATGCAGCTCGACTTAGTCGCATTGGAGTGACGTGCTTCCTGATTGCGGTGGATCTGAGTGTCTGCAACCACGCAGGCGGTTGCAGTCTTGATGTGAAGTTGAGATATCAATGGCAGACGATGGAACCAGAAAAGACCACTCCGGCGTCCCTGTTTTTGTCAACAATACTCAAAAAGAGTTCGCTTTTCCAACATAGTTTGAAGAAGCGTTTAGAAGCAGTCCTTGCTGTTGGCTGTCGAATGCTTTTGCGTATCCCAAACATTCACTTTTTAAGCTCCGCTTTCACGGTTTCTGCACTGCCATCATTGATCCGCAAACATAAGACGGAGGCTAGTCTACGTCAGCTCTGACACAATTACACTGTATTGTATGCAATTAAGTGTGTGCAATTGTATGTAATTGAGATGTCAAATTTGCTCGTCCACAGTAGAAAAGTGTGAAGAATCGGGCTTTTGTTTTATGGAAGAGTCCTAAACAACCCGAGTGGGTTACAACTCTGTTATCTAATTTAAACTTCTATTTGATAAACCGCAAACACCGCTCTCACAAACCCTAGGGTTTAAGGGACCTAGCTCTTGAAAATAATGAACACTGTTTTGTTGTACAGCGTGCTATCTGCGGCAGTCGATCTATGCGCCACTCTAGTTTTTTGCATCTTTCAGCTTTTGGCGCGTTTTTTTGGGAACGCTTTTCCTATAGGCTGGCCGTTTGTAGTTCAAATGCGTAGACTTTAACATGCCTCCTTGACATGCCATCTCCATTTATGGCAACTACCACTGTTGTGACCACCAATGGTCCCTCTAGCTGACGAAAGGATTAATATGTTTGACCATGAAACTCGGGAAGATGGGCTATATGACCACGGAGTCGCAACGTTTTGAGCCCCACTTCTAGAGTCCAAATCTCCTTCCAGTATCTTATATAATGAGCCCGCATTGGGGCAGGCATCTGGGGATTAACAGGCCGAGTACGATTTGCAGGCCTTTTCATTACGCATCTCTGTGTACGTGTTTCTAACTTCAGCCCTCTTTTTCCGTTCCGCCATCTTTCAGAAACTATGCGATATCTCGTGGGTACCACCTTCGGGCGCGGCGTCTTCTTCGATCGAGTCAAAAAGCAGGTCATGAAACAGACAAAAGGACTCTATCCCGCACCCCTTAGGATAATTGAGGTAAAAACCCTACAGCGGGTCGCACCATATTCAATCATATCGTCTGGCTTTATGGTAGCCTCTTACAAGAGACTATGACCGAAGCTGCGTAGAGCGTTCTAGCCAGTGATTCATGAGAAATGAGGAAAGCAAGGCGTGGCGGGATCTTTTGGCCTGTTGTCTATTGTGCACGGGAGAGTTTTCTATTTATCTGATTGCAGTGCGAAGTATGCTCATCCCGATTACCAGATTAAGGTCGATAGATGATCCTCCCTTGCCACTTAATACTTCCAGTCGCAGTTAACGATTTCAGCCGATTCCACCCCCGATCTTCTTGACTCTGTCCTAACGCTGGGCCCAGGTTGGTGAAGGAGGGAAGAGTGCGGTAGATGCGGCGAAAGTCCACTATCACTAAACTAATTTACGCGTAAGTCACCGTCCCCGCGCCTACCGTGTTGTGAGGCACACGATCGAGCTGTCAGTTAGAGATTTCAGACGAGTCCAATTATAACTCTGCATGCATACTGCCAGTGGGGACGGACTGGATCGGGATCCACGTAATTACCCTACTGGCAGCACAGGCAGTAGCTAAAAGTCCAGACACGCGTGTTGCGCAGATTTTCTGCCGCTGCCTGTCGCAGCTGCGACGGATTCAGCCCATCAGTGGGTCTCCCAGCGTTCTCGTGAGTTTTCTGGTATATGAACTCGAGTTCTACCTGGCCATGTTTAATTTCCGAGGAAATTAATGCACGAACTTGGAGTGAATTCCGTCGGAGCAGACCCTTCAACTTCCGGACCGAGTCTATGAAGGTCTGTTCCGAAAGATTTACTCGAATTTCGCGCATTCCTTTTCTCAGAAATTAAATAAGGCTGGATCTGGATCCGGCACCAATCGGGATACGCACCAGTAACAAATGTCAACATTGAGGGTGCCTCCAGTGTTGGTACTTTGTACGCCAAGTCGCAGGCTCACGCCGCACTGGTTAAGACAGAAGCCGCCCTCTTTTCTTGTTGTGTAGAATCCTGGTTAGGGTACCTTGTGGGCTAGAGAGTGTGGTGGTACTCCTAGGTTTTCACCGTGTCATCCACATGCACTATCTCCCGCCTCTGATCTTCTTGACTCTGTCATGCAACCGGGCCCAGGTGGGAGTGGAGGAGTGCGGTAGATGCTGCGCAAGTCCACTATCGCTGCAAACGAACTTGCACGCGAGTCAGCGTCCGTGCTCCCACCAGGCTGTGGAGCACATCGTCGGCAACGACGGCCGGACTGTCTAGTAGTATTACTGCACAGAAGCTCATATCTGGTGGGTTCGTAAGTAGAGCTGTGCTGAACAGACTTATATTCCTTTGAGGTAATTCGAATCATCAACAAAACTGCGTGCATGATTGCCCAGCTACAGCCATCTGTCGTCGCCTGAAGAACTTCTGCTGCATAAAACAAGTGTTGCCCAAACCGGTTCCGTGTGGACAAGGGGTTAGACTGCTGACCAGGGATGTAGGTAATATGTACGGGACATCATGTTTTGCCTCTCTCCTCTCAACGAAGCTGCGCAACAGGGACTCCCCAGTTTGTTGACTCGGAGCCATCAAGTTTTGCCGAAGTCATTCCGGTTCTGTCGCAGTTAAATTGTCGACCTTTCCGGTTACTTTCGCTGTCTGTGTCAGGGGACTGGACAGCTGTACGTCCCTGTTCTCTATCCATTTTAATCTTTTAGGTTATGAAGACGTCTTTGACCAAGGGCCCCGCCGTGGGTTATCAGGAGGAGGCTAAGGCGTTCGGTCAACTGGCAATGACCCCAGAATCCAAGGCCCTCTTTGGCCTCTTCTTTGGACACTCGGAATGCAAGCGTCGCCGATTCCCAGACCCAGTGAAACCTATCAAGTAGGTCTCGGTCCTCTAAATTATGGCTCGTATGAGCTCGTGTACTGTTGATTCTTACCCTTACTCACCTTCGATATTTGATTCTGGAATGGTTAATTCTGTCGAAAGAGAGAGAGAGAGTCAGTAAATATCAGTTTTATCAACCCCATGTTCCAGACTTGATGGAAACAGGGATGAGACCCGACGTCACCTTCAAGGGCAGAGGAGAGGCGACCGACGTCGTTCTTTTTTTTCGCACTCTCATGTTCTGACTGGCTCTGACCCTGGTCGCGTCGGCTGCCGCTCACGTGTACGTGGCTCACTCAACTCCATTTGGACTTCACTAAGACACCTGACCTCTTTTTAGACCCTGCCCAGTGGTGCCACCGATTTTGCTGACCCTAAAGACGCCGATTGTTAGTTTGCCGAAATTTGCGAGATCGATCACTGCCCGGAGAGGCAACGATGGCCTGCTCGTTTTCTGCGCAAAAGTGAGCGGGACGTGTGCATCATTACTTTTCAAATGAGAAGACGAGATCATGACAGCCGGACGGCCGATCACGCATTTGTCCCTTTACGCATGCCGCACATGCGTCGGTGAACTTAATTTTATAAACTGGGATCTCACTGGGATCAGCGGGCGCCAGGTAATGAAACCAGAAGACCCGCTACCACGGCAAGAAACGTCTGGAGTCGTTTATCGGATCTGAGGCAGTTGCGGACAAAGCAACTGCGTCGGAGAAACCGGAAAACAGCTCCGAACGCGAATGACCGAACACGCTGCAGCGTTGCGGAGAAGTGGCACCAGCTCCCAAGTTATGAATCATTTGACGAGATCCGGCACACAGTGAAATTCCACGAGGCTGAAATTCTTGCTAGGGATGACAACCGCGTGAGCCGCGAGGTACTTGAGTCATGGCTTACTGCACCCCAGTCCATTAACCAGTGAAATAACCTACCCCTTCCCTACTCAGTGCTGAGACTTATCTTAAGCGGAGTAAATAGCCAAGCGGGGAGCGCACAAGTGAACACTTTTCCCAACACCAGGGTCGGTGCGCCAGATGGTTGAGCAATCATCACACCAACATCCAACACACGTGATGGAATTGCAGCAGTTAACGACGCAAATGTCGGCCATCAAACAGTCATCACACCACATACAACGATCCCTGATGAAAGGAGGGAGCCGTGAACATTCGTAGATATGCGGTAGCATGGCGAATGCATCCTATAAATACTGTATCCTCTTGTGCATGAACCACCCGTATCCTCATTTGTCTCTGATGATGGGTTTGAGCAGGAATCCGAAACGTCAGGGTCGTGTCTCCTTCTTCAAGACCGGTGAACATAATTTTATAAACTGGGATCCCACGGTGGTACGAGTTTCCGTATGACCACATGGAAGAAGACTCATTGCGGCCTGACGCTCAGTAAGGCCACCGAGTTTTTCGAACCCTTAGAGGCCTTCCAAGTTACTGAATGTAGCTCGTCATGATGGTTTAAAAGCTCACCTGATTTATTATAGGGGGAAGTGGTCGCACAGCAAGATCAAACTTTGTTCACCAGTGCGAGTCGGGACCAAACTGACTGGAGATAAGATCAGACGCATTGGTTGGCGTGGTGCACGCCTGTTCAGTCCTCGTCTAGGCTTGAAGCAGTAATGCCGCCTGTCTTTGGAACCGGAAAGCAGGTGGTAGGGACAGAAATACAGAAAGATATTTCGGTCCTTGTAGAATTCGTTTTCTAGACCGTTGTATATTCATTTATTCATTGATAGGGTACCTATCACCTCACATTTATCACAGGTGATCACAAATGATGTGATAGCGGCTTAGCAACCGCCCCCCCATTGGCACAGTCCGCCGCGGGCTCTTCATCCGTACACCCCCTTGCGGAAAACAAGAGCCTCCGCTCGAAGTTTCAGTTTTTGGCGAATTTGGAGGACGTTTTTGTGGCGGCTAGTAAACTAATGTCCTTTCGCTCATCAGCTACCTGCATCTTGAGTGTCTGTCTTGTCAGCAACTGTGCCACGTGTACCGTTTACGGCCCCTGATGTGTCATGTCGTAGGGGGCCCTTCTTGAGTCTCATCACGCGAAAGCTTCCATCCAGCCTGCTAGACAAAGGTGAGTCAAGTCCCCCACGAGAATTGGCCAGTTAACCAGCTTTTCCCCAGTCGGCTAAAGAATCGCCGTGGCACCAGTCGAACAGTCAGTGTTTTTTGTTATTTTACTGTCACTTCAATGTTTTCCTGTCTATCAATCCAGGTGGAATAAGTCATAGATGTTCAGGCGCCAGTTGTGGCTTTGCATTGACGCGCCTCCCTCAGGTACTGTTAAGGCGTCTCCGAACGTGAGGCAACATTCTTGTTGTCGGGCTGTCACCCGCGACAGGGAACCCCCCCCCCCAGGCCGCAGGTCAGTTTCGCCTACCAAGGTGGCGGCGTGAGTCAGAAATTAGCTCGCCACCGGAATGCGCGCAACCTTTGGGGGCCGGCGAGGGTTTGTCCACACGGGCGTCAGGGCTCAACCAATGGGAATACGTGATTCAGACGAGAAAATGACCCTTGAATGCGACGTCATGGACAGAATGACTACAACGCTATTGGCTGGATTCTCGGGAGGGTCCTACACGAAGGTGACGGTGTTGAGTTTGCATCTGGACACCGACGGACTGATATCGACTATGCCGATGATATCGCCTAACTTGCTTCCAGTTTTGGTGATCTGCAGTCTATGGCGTCACGGGTAAACGAGGTCGCTAAATCGGTCGGTTTATTTATAAACACTGGGAAGTGTTTTTAAGCTGCATCCCCCTAACCAGGAGAGGGCATTTCTCGGGATTAATGGCCGTCAACTTGAAGAAGTAGACAGTTGTAAGTACCTCGGGGTGAGGCTGCCGCCGAGTGGGCAGAGTAAGGATGACGTTGTCTCCCGAATTGAAGCCTTAGAAAATACGCATGCAACCGACCGACGTCTCCATCGCCACTAAGATTCGTGTGTACCGTGCATCGGTTCGATCTGTCCTTCTCTACGGTTGTGGATGCTGGGCTTTGCACGTGGAGGACGAGCGAAAACTGGAGGTATTTTAACCACCACTGTTTGAGGACCATCCTTCGAGTGAAGTACGCCGGCTTCGTCTCAAATGAGACAGTCCGCGCTCGTTGCGACAACATCCCAAGGATAACCCAGGCCATCCAAGAAAGGCGACTGAGGTGGTTTAGACATGTTCTTCGTCGGCCACCTCAGGAGCTCAGTGCTACTGCCCTCGATCCGGTACCGTTACCCCATTGGAGACGTCAAAGAGGGGCCGAACGCGAAACCTGGCTCGACACAGTTCGTCAGGACATGGAGGTGGTTCATGGACCTTTGGTATTCGGTTTCCGGCGTTAGCCAAGAGAATGGGTTGAACTGTCCAGATCTGCTGCCGCAGATCGTCACGCTTGGAGAGGTACAGTTCGAGACATCATCGAGGCCGGCTAGATCAGGCATAATCGTAGCCGTACCAAGTACAAGCAAGTACAATGATTGAGAGTTAATGTGCGCGCAGCGACTGTCGTAGCAAAGCCGTCCTTCGTCGTCCTGTCTTCTGTTTCACGCAGCAACTGGCGTCACACTACCGCAAACGTGCGCATACTTTTTGTTTCTCCCACCCCTCTGTGTGTTGGAATTAAGTCCACAGTACCGATACAAACGAAGATGCGAGTTACAGGAACTAGTTGATCAGAAGAAGAAGTGATCGCTGGAACAAGGTCTTTATTCGCCTGACGTTTCGGATTCTCACTTGAATCCATCATCAGAGACAGTAGCAGAAAAGGGTCTGTCTGCTACTGTCTCTGATGATGGATTCAAGTGAGAATCCGAAACGTTAGGCGAATAAAGACCTTGTTCCAGCGATCACTTCTTCTTCTGATCTTCCCTGTCCACAGTGTTGGTAGTAGGGCCAGTGGCGATAGTGTTTTGCAGATCGACAAGAGTGCCCCCGCTGATGTTGCGTTTGGTCACGCGCGGACGGGCCATCTAGCTCTGTCAGCCTCGTACGCCCAATCCCAGCACCAGATGACTGGTAGATGACTTGGACTGGTGGACTGGACGTTGTCTTGCTAACCTTAACAGTCGGGTTCGAGGTCCGCCTCATTGATGACGCCAATAAACTGGTGTCGGAATTAAAATTGACAGTATTATCATGATCAAGTAAGCAAAAAATGAGGCTGTTTGATCGCCGGAACCATTCATTTATTCGTCTGAGCTTTCGAACTCGTACAGGAGTCCACCGTCAGAGGTGAAAGCAGCAACAGGACAAGCGGCAGTCATAGGAGGTATAAGCCAGCGAAACATCTGTAACGGCAGTCTGAAGGTGACTACGCAGAGCTCTGCATGCCGGCGCCAGATCGATACTTCGGTTGACAGAGTTTTCATTTGAGGTCAGGGCTTCAATCAATTTGCGGCTTGTTTTGCTTCTGGCGTGGGTGATTATCTTCGTGGCTGCAAAGTTTGACTCGTGACCCGTTCCGTAGGTGTGGACGCTACTCATTTTTGGTTGGCTCATACCCCCATAACTGTTGCTTGTTCTGTTGCTACTTTGATCTCTGGCGATGGACTCCTGCAGGAAATCGAAATTTCAGACGGATAAATAAATGGTTCCGGGGATAAAACAGCCATCGTCTTTACTTCTACATACACCTAGGATGCATGCATTCGCCTCATTTACCGACAAAGACGGACCGGCCAAAATGGCGACTTCTGGTTTATTTGCCTGTGAGAACTGTAGATTGGATTGGGCAAGATGGAAGTAGCAGGTTTCATTCCACAATTGGACCCATGAAGCGCCACTTCCATGTAACTGCGATTGCACTTTGGAGGGCAAAAAACATTGTGCTAATGTAACAATCTCTCCATTCATATCTTACTGCACCCCTACATTTCCGCTGGCCACCGCCGCCGCCCAGTTTCCTCTGCGCATTCTCTGCTGAATATTGCTCGGCGGCTGTTTCGGCTTCCGGACTGACGAGACAACTGCTCATTGCT